CCCCGGCCGCTTGGGAGGGAAAAGGAGCCCCCGCTCACTCGCAGCCCTCTCTTCTGCCTGGGCGGAGGCGAACCTCCCTTCCCGGGTGGGGGCTTTGGGATGGAAGGAGCCGGTCTCCCGGCCGCCCCCACGCAGAACACCGGCTTCCCGGCGCTCGGTCCGGGCGCAGGCCCCGTCTGCAGAGAGGGCCCCAGCCACGGCCAAGACGGGTCTGGCCCGAGTGCCGGGTGTGAAACCCGCCCGTTCAGGGAGTGCCTGGGACTGGGCTTTTCTGATGAAGCTCGAGATCCACGGGAGCGGGCCGGGGTGGGAGGCCGGCAGGTTCCAACTGTTGGGCGAGGGCGCCACCTCCCAGTGTAAGGCGGTACTGCAGGCTCTGCTAGCGAAGTCGAGCGAGTCCAAGTCCAACCAAGTCACGCCTGATGGCGTGTTCTAGTCTCCGCCTCCCTTCTCTTGCCACGCGTGTTTAGCACAGATTCAGGGCCACGGGCCGCGTAAGCCCACAGCGCTCACACCCACTTCCCGCTGCAGAAGGGCCAGGATCACTTATCTTGTTGGAACAACTGCAGATCCAACCCAATCCAATCCCCAGAATCCTCCGGCCATCTCAGAAGACACAGGCATTTATTTAACACCTACTCAGTACAAGGCTAATCTGCACCCGAGCTGTTCTCACCTGCACCAGAGCTGCTGTAACCTTCACTTGAGCTGTTCTCACCTGCACCTGAGCTTCCTAACCCACACTTGCTGCTCTAACCTGTACCGGAGCTGCTGTAGCCTTTACCTGAGATGCCCTAACCTGCACTCCAGCTGCTCTCACCTGCACCCAAGCTGTTCTCACTTGCACCTGAGCTGCTTTAACCTGTACCTGAGCTACTGTAACCTTCACCTGAGTTGCTGTAACTTTCACTCGAGCTGCTCTAACCTTCACCTGAGCCGTTCTCACCTGCACCTGAGCTTCAGCCCATACCTGCTGCTCTAAACTGCACCCGAGCTGCTCTAACCTGTACCCAAGCTGCTGTAACCTTTATCTGAGCTGCTGTAACCTTCACTTGAGTTGCTCTAACCTGCACCTGAGCTGTTTTTATATGCACCCGAGCTTCCCTAACCCACACCCGAGCAGCTCTAACCCGCACCCAAGCTGCTCTAACCTGCACCCGAGCTGCTGTAACCTTCATCTGAGCTGCCGTAGCCTTCACTTGAAATGCTCTAACCTGCACTCCAGCTGCTCTAACTTGCACCTCTGCTGCTCTAGCCTGCACCCAAATTGCTCTAACCTGCACCTGAACTGTTCTCACCTGCACCTGAACTTCCCTAACCCACACCTGAGCAGCAGCTCTAACCTGCACCTGAGCTGCCATAGACTTCACCTGAGATGCCCTCACCTGCACCCTGGCTGCTCTCGCCTGCACCCGAGATGCTCTCACTTTGCACCGGCACCTCTGCTGTCCTTACATGCCAGGAGGTTGGAGTTAAATCACTTCCAACTCTTCTAATCCCCAAGTCCCATCCAATTTCTGAACTCTGCCATTCAGCGAGAGTGAACACTGCTTTTAATGCATTCGAAAGGGTCATCAGACAAGGCTCGAGTAAGTGTGATTTGATCCAAAGCATCTCAAAAGGAAGCAGTGAATTGTTGAAGAATGACAGTATGCAAAGTAAAGGACCAACACCAAACGCTCCCAGAGAGGAATTTAAATCCCAGTTTCCACACGACTTCCCTTGAAGCAAGGGCTCATTATATTTGCAGCTCTGAATGCGCATAATAACACTGCCGGGGCAGGTACGGTGCCTCAGACTGCACTGGGGACCTGGCATGTGTGACATCACCTAATCCTCACCGAAGCCCACGGTGCAGCGTTACCGTGACTGCACTTTGCAGACAGGAGCCTCAGGCTTAGAAAGACAATAAGACCTGCCCAAGGTCAGGGTGAGATGGCCTATTTCCAGGACCAAGCCCATAAACGTGGTAGCAGGCCTGTCTCTCGGATGTCATGTCCACCATTAAATCTCATGAACCCTGGAAGTGGCACCCTCTGCATGGCCACGGAAATCCTGGTCACTTGCATAATTCCACAAGCCACAGAAGCCACAGAAGACATTTCTAAGCCCATGGGAAGGACATATATGGTTCCTGCATGAGCCTGTGGTTCCTGCATGAACCTGTGGCTCCAAGTCACTTGGCATGAACTAGACTGACCCAGGTCTCTGCCCTCACACCTGCCTCTAAAAGGCCCTGACCTTGGGGGACAGCACAAATTCACTGGCATACATAAAAACAACACCAACCTCCACAGCCCTGGGTTGCACAGCTCTGAAAATGGGGATGATATTCTGTAACTGTGAAAGGATTCCGTAACTGCCCTGAATTCTGCCATCCTTACAAGATACTTGTCCACATGTGGGGTGCCAGAGAGTCATCTCAGGAAGCCCACAACAGCCATGCAGCGAACCGGGGGCACGTCTGACCAGACTGTCACCTCAGACCCACAAGGGTGTGGGCCTGCTCAGGTCCCTCAGCCAGGAGTGGACGCTTGGAGGGAAGTAAGTTCCTGGGCTACTCCCCAGTGCTCCCTGACAAAGGGGCATTGCCAAAGGAACAGTTTGGATGCCTGTTTTTGCTGTTTAAGAATATATGGGCTGGGCATGGTGGCTCAAGCCTGTAATCCCAGCACTTTGGGAGGCTGAGGTAAGGGGACTGCTTGAGACCACGGGTTCGAGATCAGCCTGGGCAACTTGACGAGCCCTCATCTCTACAATAAATAAAAAAAAATTAGCCGGGCGTGGCATTGTGCACCTGTAGTTTGACTACCTGGAAGGCTGAGGCGGAAGGATCACCTGAGCCCAGTGGGTTGACGCTGGAATGTCCGTGAGTGTGCCACTGCACTCCAGCCTGGGTGA